GAAGGTTCCACTTTGCGACAAGTCGAAGGACATTATTGAGCCGCTTATGAAGCCTCAGTGGTGGATGAGAATGAAGGAGCTGGCTGAGCCAGCCTTGGAGGTCGTCCGAAACGGCGACATCAAGATCAGACCTGATACTGCCGAGAGGAGCTATTTCCGCTGGCTCGAAGACATCAACGACTGGTGCATCAGCAGACAACTTTGGTGGGGACACCGATGCCCTGTCTACTTCGCCAAGATTGAGGGCGAGGTCGGAGATACCTCAGAGGAAAACCTTTGGTTCTCTGGAAGGACACGAGAGGAAGCCGAGCAAAAGGCTAAGGCTGCTCTTCCCGGAAAGACATTTACCTTGGAGCAGGACGAGGATGTCCTTGACAGTAAGCACTTTCGAACGCAAAATATCTGGCGTATCTCGTAGCTAATGTAACCACAGCTTGGTTCTCATCTGGTCTTTGGCCATTCAGCACTCTGGGCTGGCCTAAGAAGACTCACGATCTCGAGACCTTGTATCCCACGGCTGTCCTGGAGACTGGATGGGATATTCTCTTCTTCTGGATTGCCCGCATGATTATGCTCGGCTTGAAAATGACTGGGAAGATTCCCTTCAAGGAGGTGTACTGCCACAGCCTGGTCCGTGATTCGGACGGCCGGAAAATGAGCAAGAGTCTCGGGAATGTCATTGACCCTCTCGATGTCATCTCCGGGATCAAGCTCGAGGACCTCCATGCCAAGCTCCTTCAAGGCAACCTTCACCCCAGTGAGGTGGCCAAGGCTACCAAGTACCAAAAGACTGCTTTCCCAGATGGAATCCCACAGTGCGGTGCTGATGCTTTGCGATTCACCATGGCAAACGCTACTACTGGTGGAGGTGATATCAACCTCGACGTCAGAATGTAAGTTTACCGCCTTCCAACCTTTTCTTCTCTTTCTGACCCATATTAGTATCCACGCCTACCGAAAGTTCTGTAACAAGATCGTGAGTTGACAACGTGAGGAATTGCTTTGAGGATAGCCATATACTAATGAACGACACAGTTCCAAGCTACTAAATACGTCCTCGGTAGCTTGCCCGAGGACTTCGTCCCTGCCAAGGATGCGTCTGCTACAGGGAAGACCCTCGCAGAGCGCTGGATTCTGCACAAGATGAACGTTGCCGCACGAGACGTCAACACCGCTCTAGCCGACCGAGAATTTTCCAAGGCTACCATCATTGTCTACCGCTACTGGTACACCGAGCTTTGCGATGTATACATTGAGAACTCCAAGGCCATCATCCGTGATGGCACTGAGGAAGAACGCCAATCTGCTCTCCAGACTTTGTACACTACTTTGGACGCAGCTCTCACCCTGATCCACCCCTTCATGCCATACATCAGTGAAGAGATGTGGCAGCGACTGAAGCGTAGACCAGGAGATGAGACCAAGTCCGTCATGCTCGCCAAGTACCCTACTTTCAACCCGGCCCTCGATGATCCAGCATCAGAAACAGCTTACGAGCTCGTTTTGGAATGCACCAAGGCCGGCCGTTCCCTGATGGCTGAGTATGCCCTCAAGGAGAACGTTGACCGTAAGTTTACTCACATACCTAGCCAAATCATTAGCCTTTTAGGGATTTTGCTAACCTTTCGTCTAGTCACTATTCAAGCGTATGACGAGACAACACTGAAGACCGTGACCGAGCAGGTTGCATCTATCAAGACTCTCGCAGGCAAGGGTGTAGGGAACATTCAGATCCTTGGCCCTGATGCTGCCCGACCTGCCGGTAGCGTCTCGTACCCCGTGTCTACCGTTGCCTCCGTATTCCTATACGTCAAGGGCCGCGTTGACATGGACGCCGAGATTTCCAAGGCACAGAAGAAGCTTGACAAGGCTGTGTCTAACCTGAAGAAGCAGGAGAAGATTTTCACCGACCCAGGATACAAAGAGAAGGTCTCCGCTGCTGTTCAGGAGACCGACCAGGCTAAGCTGGCTGAGCTCAGACAGGAGGCCAAGACCTTCACGGAGACAATCCAGCAGTTTGAGCAGCTCAAGTTAGAGTAGACAAGACTTAGACATATCTCTGGCAATCAAATACTCGACAAGCATCCCAGCTGTCGGGTCGCAACCAAAATAGTTAAAAGTTAAATAAGCATAAAAAAGACATTGGGAACTGGGACCAATATTTACCCTTGTTTCGCACATTGTATGAGATTATAGGTTCTTGTAATTACTTTGTTTAGTTCGCTTGCTATTTAAATTCGATACAAAGGAGTTGCATTCTGTCCCTTATCTTCCACCCTTCCCACCTCCATCATCCTTCTTGGCGCCTCCACGCACCGGTCTAGATTGTGACGCCTCATGGCGCTTCAGCTCATCCGGTACCTTAGAGATTGAGCTCTTGCTGAGCATCTGCCTCAGATCGTACATGACGTCTGCATCTTCGTTGCCCAGGAAGGTGATGGCAACACCACTCTTTCCAGCACGACCTGTACGACCGACACGGTGGGTATAGCTCTCGATGGACGTGGCCATGTTGAAGTTGACAACGAGAGAGACGTCCGGGACATCAATACCACGACCAGCCAGATCCGTGGCGACGAGAACCTGCGTCTGGCCTGACCGGACGGACCCCAGCGCCGCCTCACGCTGCTCCTGAGTCTTGGATCCGTGTAGAGTGACGGCTGACCAGCCCATGTGCTTGATGTCCCTTGCCACGGCATCGCAGTTGCGCTTGATGTTGACGAACACGATGATGGGCGCAGGAAACTGATCGGAAGAAAGAATCTCTTGGAGACGTTTCTTGCGACGGTCCTCTCCGGGGATGAACTCGACACGTTGCTCAACGGTATCGACAGCCTCGCCAGCGTTACCAATGGTGACCGTGGCCGGGCGGCGGAGATACCTCCTCGCAATCTTCTCGACGAGGGGCGGCATAGTAGCCGTGTACATCATAGTCTGGCGGTATCGGTCTTTGCCGCCGAGGTATTGTTTCATTAGTTGGGCGTTCTCTGCATCGTCGGTGTCCGGCTTCTCGTTTGTGACTGGTAGGGCGTCTAGGATCTTGTTCACCGATTCCTCGAATCCCAGGTCAATCATACGGTCTGCTTCGTCCATGATGATGTAGCAGCACTGTGACAGAACGAGCAGCCGTCTCTCAATACAATCAACCAGACGTCCAGGAGTGGCCACGATGATTTCTGCACCGTTCCTCATGGCATAGACTTGTTCTTCGACAGAGTGACCACCCACAATGCTGACTGTGCGGAAGCCAAGGGGTTGAGCGAACTTGCAAGCCTCGGTCTCGATCTGCTGGACCAGTTCACGTGTCGGCGCAAGAATGAGGGCATAGGGACCGTCGTTCTTGTTCACCTCAGTGAGCGGAGGGAGATCTGAGATGTATACCAAGAGAGGGAGGAGGAAGGCGGCTGTTTTACCGGAACCAGTCACGGCGACACCGATGAGATCTCTGGCTTGCTGTGCAATGGGTATAGCTGCTCGCTGAATAGGTGTTGGCTCCTTATACCCAACCTGGTCGACAATGTCGAGTAAACGCTTGGGCAGGTTGGACTCTCTCCAGCTGCGCATGGGGTTTGGAATAGCGCCTCCCTTTGTGGCGATGCCGAAATCTTCTTTGAAGATACGCCAGTCTCGCTCTCTCATTTCTGAGAGCGACTTCTCCGACCAGTGCCTGCCCAGGCCTGTCCTTTCGGCACGCTCTCGTGCCTTCTCTCGAGCCCTGTAGAAATCCTCCATGATGCCCTTTGCCCGTTCCTTTCCGTTCTCCATGTCTCGCTGCTCGATCATCCGTGCCCTCTTGCGAGCCCGCTCCTCAGCCTCATTATCAAATTCGCCTCCGACACCGGCAAGCGATGACCCTCGGTTGACAGCCTGGTTTGCGTAGAGAGGGTCGTGGTCCCTCCAAGTATCCTCATCTGCGTCCCACTCAAAGTTGAATTTCTTTTCCGTAGTCCTCATCCGTTTCTTCTTGGCCGAGAAATTAGACTGCTGATTCACCTCGGGCCCGAGGTAGCGCGAGCGCAACAGCGAGGCTTCGATGTCCTCAGCCGAACGTTTCTCGACGCCGTTTTTCTCAGAGTTCTTTGGCTTCCGCCCATCGCGCCCGTCGCGGCCGCCATCCTGACGGTCACGCCCGTTTGCCTGTTTCATGGCCTTGGGCCCGGTGGGGACATGGGTGCTTCCATTAGAGGTCCCGCCCATGGGTGTATCTGCATCCCGTCGCGAGGCCGAAGCCCATTTGCGCTCGTCTTCTCTTCGTTTTTCTTCGTCTTCGGCGGCCTTTCGCTTCTTCTCCTCTTCCTCTTGCTTTGCTTTCTCTGCGGCCAGGCGCTCGCGCTGGGCTTTGGGGATGAACTTTGGCTTCGCGGCAGCGGCGTCTGCTGCTTTCTTCTTGCGAAGAATCTCCTCGATGTCCAGAGGCATCCTGAAAATGGCTGGGTAAGGACAACCGGACCAAATCTTCCGTAAGCGATGTGCCGTATCTCTATCTGTGTGTTTGGACGATAAATCGAGGGATACACGTATCGGAAACGTGGACTGTGACTTTGGAATTGGTGATGCAGGTGTAGAAGGTGCTGGACGGAAAATAAGGGCCCAATTCGACAAGGCTGAGAAACTGATAGCCTGCTGTCCAGCTCGGGCCAATCAGATCGTCGAGGGACTGGTGGGGCCTAGAGACAGGGATCTCGAAATCTTAGTAGCCGGCAGCCTTACTTGTAGATAGATTCTCGAATTGAAAACCCACCTCCCGCAATCCCCGTTAACGCAGCCACGAACCCCAACACCTCCCGGCCGACCCAAGCTCCAGCGGAGCCTAATCCGTGACAATGGCGTCGTCCGCCAAAAACTACATCCAGCTGGCCAAGTCGCTGCCCGAGCCCCTCCAGCGCTTTTTCGCCCGCTGGCCCCCAGCTGCCATCGTCCCCGAGGGGACTCCCAAAACCCTTTACCAGGAGCGACGAGCGAATCCCTTCGAGTTCTTCAAGAACCCCGCCACGGGAAAGATGCAGGACCCCGTCTATTCGAACCGTCGGCAGGCCCAGCTCGTCAAGATGGCTCGCGAGCATGGCGTTGAGCACCTGCTCCCAGAGAGCAAGAAGGGAACCGCATACCGCCTGGCCTACCGTGTGGAACACGGATTGAGAGTCAAGGGTACTGGTGTTGGCCAATCCGTCAAGGGACACATCCACGAAAGACACATGATCGCCAAGTACGTATCCGCATTGCTCAGCGAAATCGCTATGGAAGATTGTCAGACTAACAGCAAGGACAGGATGGAAGCCAGGAGAAAGGCCATGTTGGAGATGCCCAAGCTCATCAAGACCTGGAAGAGGGTAAGTTTGGTTTCGGCCAGTCTGATATTCCTTGTCCTGAGTTATCATACTGAAAATTCGCATAGGTTGGAAAGTACGCCTGGACCAAGTGGCCGAAATGAACAATATACGACGGATTCTTTTTTGGCGCTATGTAGATATCCCATGTATTTTTATGTACCAACATGCATCATATTTACATTCAGCTCGCAAAGTTATTCGGACCCTATCTTGCATAACTAAAACCGTGATTGCTTGCCATACCCTTTGGCTTCATATAGGTTGAGGTAGAGAGATCTCCGCCCTCAAGCCTCCGGTAAAATTGATTTTGAAAAGCAAAACATCATACGAACGAGTACCAATGAAAGAGCTATACACACAGTTCTACTACGTGGTGAAGATAAAAGAACTCATCAAGAATCGCTTGCATTTCCAGCTGCTATCACCATATTCAAGATCACGTGACCACCCACTCACACACACTTTTCATTCTTGAGCTTGAAAAGACATCTCACACGAGACCTCACCAACCCTCTCAGAATACTTTTCGGCACCTCAAAAAAGCGGCTGAGGCCTCGAGGCTCGGGGAGAAATGGAAGAAATAAAGACACCCGCCGCGGTGTCCCACTACCAGGTCCTCAACCTTACCCAGTCCCTCGTCGACTCACACCACAACCCATCAACCCTCATCAAGCGAGCGTACCACCGCGCGCTCCTCCAGAACCACCCGGACAAGGCATCCCGGTCCCGGGCATCATCATCATCATCATCATTATCATCATCCACCTTCTACTCCGTCGACCAGATCACGGCCGCCTACACGGTGCTCTCCTCCCCGAGAGACCGCGCTGCCTACGACGCCTCCGCCCGGCTGTCACAGCAGCACGGCGGCGGCCAGGACGACCCGACGTCGGCCCAGTTTCGCACCGGGGTGGAGAACGTCGACCTCGACGACCTGCCCTTCGACGAGGGCAAGGATGTGTGGTACCGGAGCTGCAGGTGCGGCAACGACCGGGGCTACGTCTTCGGCGAGGACGACCTGGAAGAGGTAGGGGGCGAGGGGGAGCTCATGGTCGGCTGTCTGGACTGCAGTCTCTGGTTAAACGTTCATTTCGCGCAGGTCGACGACAACGATGATACCGCTGGAACCTACAGGTCATGGCCCCTTCAACTTCCCAATAAACGTGCTAGCACCGTCGCAGGAGACTTGCCCTCCTCTGTAATCAAGTTCCTTAATCGTAAACCAAGGCATTCGGAATCACTCCAAATCCAACTCCCGTGTAGGTCTTACGTACAAACTTTGAAAGATGAAGGCATTGCCATCATTGTTCTGCTCCCTGTTCATACACGCACACACCATCTGATACAGAGACCCCCAGCTGTCACATGCTTGGAGGCGGCAGGTCATTTGGCCTTCTCGTTTCATCTTATCGCAATCTGAGCGCTTGGCCAAGCTTCCAAATCCATCAATGTCGTCACTCCTGCGATAACGGGCAACCGCGTTATGTGTAGTATTGAAATCAATTTTTGTATTTTTACTTGTCCATACGGCCAAAACAAAAGAGTCTTCAGAGCCAAAGCACATTGGTACCCTTCTCAAAATCTCTATGCGAGTTTCCGATGGAGAAAGATAAGCCCCTCTCCTGTTCTTGGTTTACGCAATCACCTAAACGATGCCGAAGCTCTTGATCACAAAAAGAAACCGAAGTCTTTCCATTCCACTCCGTAGACACCAGCCCAATACCCACATTTGCCAAAAACATGGACACTCCCAATGGTATCCTTTACTTTACTCAGCAGGCTTGGGAGCCTCCTCAGCAGCAGGAGCGGCCTCAGTAGAAGGAGCAGCCTCCTCCTTGGCAGGGGCATCGGCGGAAGCCGTGTTATCGGCCTCAGAGGAAGTCCAGAGAGTAAGGTTGTCGCGGAGCAGCTGCATGATCAGAGTAGAGTCCTTGTAGCTCTCCTCGCTGAGTGTGTCGAGCTCTGTTTAAAAACGCAAAAGTTAGAAATGTCACAGACAAGATCGGCAGCAAGAGAAACCTACCGGCAATAGCATCATCGAAAGCCTGCTTGGCCAGATGGCATGCCTGGTCAGGAGCATTGAGGATCTCGTAGTAGAAAACGGAGAAGTTCAGGGCGAGACCCAGGCGGATGGGGTGGGTAGGAGGGAGATCGGTCTGGGCAACCTCGGTGGCAGCCTTGTAGGCCTCGAGGGACTTGTCGGCAGAGTCCTTGCGGCGGTCACCGATGGCGAACTCGGCAAGGTAACGGTGGTAGTCACCCTTCCTAAAATTAGAGAATTAGTTCCATCCCAGCGAGCATTCATATGAGGTTAGGCCAATGCATACATCTTGTGGTAGAAAACCTTGGACTCGCCGGACTTGGCGGAGGGGATCAAGTGCTTGTCAAGAACCTCGAGAATATCCTCGCAGATCTTGGCGAGCTCATTCTCGATCTTCTGGCGGTACTCCTTGATCAGGGTAACCTGGGATGAGTTGCCCTTGGTCTCCTCCTTCTGCTCAATAGATGTAACTATTCTCCAGGAGGCACGGCGAGCGCCAATAACATTCTTGTAAGCAACGGACAGGAGGTTGCGCTCCTCAACTGTCAGGTCACGGTCCTCGGAGGCGACAATCTTCATATTCTCAACCATCTCTGTGGAGCCAAGTTAGTGGCTGCTGGCTTGAGGGAGAGACGAGGGGGACTGGAAGGTGTTGGTCATACCCTCGTAGCGCTCAGCCTGCTCAGCGAGCTTAGCGAGATAGACGGCATCTTCTTGACCCATTTTGAATGATTTTGGTTGTGGTAAACTAGATCGGACAATGCGAATTAGCAGCGGGACAAGTCAGAGATAACACGATTTGGCGCTAACAACTTGGGAAAGTAGGTTGGACAAGTGACGGTCAAGTTAAGGGGGGAAAGGGAAAGTGAGCCCGAAAATGGCTTCGCGGATGAAAATTGAATATACAATCGTGATAGGAATTCGTTTGAGTGTGCGTAGCGAACGCGCGAGACGATGTTGTTGAAGAAGCGATCCTCGCAGTTAAAGACGGTCAAGCGAACCTCCCCTCCCCCCGCTCTCGCTCAATCCGAGGGGGTGGTGGGGTTGGGTGTACAGGACGATGTTGATGGTATTCAAACGGTCTTTGGGGGTTGGAGGAGGATCAATCGAGTGCGGATGAGTGTGTATCCTGTCAAGGAGTGTCTACCCATCGCGAGTTTCGTCATGTCGCAGGTGTCCAGGTCGAGGTTCAAAGTTCAGGGCTGGAGGGGGCGGACAAGGAGGGAATGACGACAGGAATGGCAAGAGGCCAGCAGTTGCGCGACATTTCTATACATACCGTTATGTGTATCGAAAGGTGAACGGCCAAGTGAATGACTCTCTTTGTCCCGGGCTGGACTTGGTGCAGTAGAGAAGGCGCGGTGAGTAGTTGTTTGTGTCTAGTTGTGATTTGGGGAGAGGTGGGTTTAGGGAAAGGCGGACGGGATCAGTGGAAATTGAAGAAGGGGTTCGGCGAGCAGCCTCAGGCTGGGCACAGGCGCACCGCGGCCACGAATGCACAGAGAAACTGGGCTTCCAGCATTAGGAGGAAGCAGGCAGGCAGCAGGCACTGTACTGCAGGTACTGTTTGTAGCCCCGACGCCGCAGATCGCCGCAAGATACAGGCGGGTCAGCACTAGTAGCGCCTGCTGCCAGGTACCCTGGGGGGGCAGGTGACATAAAATACAGCACAACTTGCCGGGGCCTGAGCGCTCCCTGCATTCAGACATCCATTTGTATCAAGAGCCTGCACAGCAGTGAAGCACAGGGACGGACGATAATCGCAATGGCGAGTAGACCAGAAACAATAACATAAGCATTTGTGTCATCCTAGAAATAAAACAGTCGCCGCTTTCTTACCAATCAATTGATACCAAAGCATAATACATGGCCTATCGGAGGCAGGAAAGGATTGCAGTGCTGTCTCCTATTTTATGTCACCCTCGAGCCCCAAGTACAGTACTTGCCCGCACAGTGCCAATTGCAGGCTAGATAGGACTAGAGAGCTACTAGCACAGCATTGGGACAGCTGTGCTCTGCACTTCCAGTGGGCTAGCTGCCCTGTCATCTGCCTAATCAGCAGCTGAACCGGGAGCTGCCACTGCCCAATGACAAGGCCATTCGTCACTGCCAGTCAAACGCAGACAAAAGAAACACCGCCCAATCAAATCGCCATTCGCTGCCCATCATAATGGAAGGAGATGGATCCCAATGGTCCTCATCGGCTCAGGTCAATGTCTCAGAGAGTTCCTTTATTCCTGCGGTACCGCACCGTCCCCTGCTATTGCACTGCCCCAGGTACGAGGGCAGTACCTCAGCGAGCGTCCAAGGTACTCCCAACTGTTTTTCCTTTTTTCACTTTTATCTCCCACTTGTTGGGTCTCGGTAAGCAGGCCTACCGGCCAGCATTGCACAACAGAGGCAGGCATCACGTCACCAGCGATGATTTCATAGGGGAACCAGAGCGTTTTCGCCTCCTCCTTGGCTCGCCGTTCCGATGAAACAGACTCTAAAACCCCAACCCTGATCCAAACGGTTTCTCCCAACAGAACATTTCAGGATTAGGCAATCGTCGTGTTTTATTATATTCTCACCTCGGAGCGCTACTGTTACTTTACAACGATGCTATCATGATCCGATCTTCCTGCGACAGCAACCATCCCAATTCACCGGTGGTGCGCATGCAGCTTCAGTCACATAACTACTTGAAGGGCTGTGGTCATAAGGCGCATCCATCCCACAATGACGTGTGAATGCGGATTCTGCCCACCACTACCCAAGCATGACACGTGCTTACATTCATCCTCGTAGGCTTCCCCTCGAATTCCTGTGATAGGGTTGCAGTTCGCCCAACTCAGCCTTATCGAAACGGACACAGGCAGCTGAAAGTGTGTAAATGCAACCATCGAGTCCGCCTCGAGGGTCAAATCAGCAGCTACAGCACATGAATATGCATTTGCTGATTACACGATCACGAAAACGTAGAAGAACAAAGCACCCGAACCAGAGTGTTGGCTAACCAGTTTATGGCCCCGAAAACTTGACGATGCCCGCCCTCAAGTCCGATCCATAACATACCATCATCGGCGGCATGACCAATTGCCTTTAGCCCATTCACTAATATGGGTCTACCGTTCCTTTTTGGTGGTGTTATTATGGCCAGCGCCTACTAGAGGGTTCGAATAAGTAGCACATGGTTTCCCGATTGGATCCTTCAGCTGCAGCCCCCCCTTCAAGACGATTGGCTGTGCTCAAACTCGTACGAAGAGCTGGATAGACAGGTTTTCGGCCGGTTGGCTCACGTGGCGGTGCTCTTGTGAGGCGGCGGATAGCCCAAAGCCCAGTAAAACCGTAGCCTTCCTGGCCCCAGCCAAATCCAGCTAGGCGAGCCTTGGAAGTCAGGCCACAGGCACAGCAGAACCGAAGCCCGGGCTTTCCCGCATTGGTCAGTTACCCTGGTACATCTCCGCGAAGCGATCTTTTGCCCGAGGGGTTAGGTATCTCGCTAGCCACGGGAGCTTCCCCCAAACTCTGACCTCATCCGTTGCTCCAATTGCCGCTCACGATTTGCCTTCCCTCTTATACCTGCCCAATTGCAACCCCAATTGTCAATCAATTCCCATTCACTCACACCAGCAAACCAATCATGCTTCGAACAACCTTCACCAAGACGGCCGCCGTCCGCCCTCTCCGCGCTGCCTTCACCACCACTGTTCGTGCCATGGGTGAAGGCGACACTGGTGCCCCTCCCAAGCTTGGTGGTACTGGGTGAGTAACTTTCACCAAAACCGATGAACTACTCATCGCCCCTCAATGTATATCCTGTACAATCCCAGTGGCTAACCGACGTCGCTTTACTTTTCTCTAGCGACGCCTTCCAGCGCCGCGAGAAGGCCAGTGAGGACTACGCCATCCGCCAGCGTGAGAAGGAGAAGCTCCTCGAGCTCAAGAAGAAGCTCCAGGAGCAGAAGGAGCACCTCGAGCGTCTGTCCCAGCACATGTACGTCTTGCCGCATTGCCCCCTCCCAGGATACCCATCGTTTGCGGGAAGCTAATCCATTTTATTTCCAGTGACGAGATCACCAAGGACCAGGACGAGAAGAACTAAATACTTTGAGCGCAAACAAAACACACGAACATTCGGCTGTTGGAAGGGAGGAACTCGGCCCCATTGTACGAAATTGACGGCAAGGCG